CATCATCAAAAATACTCGTCAAACCTATGATATACCACAGAAATAACATTTTGGAATTCTCAAAAACGTTTGGGAAAGCTCACTGTAGCATTTTCAGAACAGAACACTAGTTTGCTTGTTTTCTTTCACTGTTACCATATAATTATAAATGTAACAAAATGTCAAAACTCAAATATCCAAATTGACATAAACCACTTGGATTCTACATCGTACATTCATAACACAGTGAAACATAGAATGCAGTGACACACAAGATCGCAGGGGGTCAGTGTGCTTTTAAAATGATGATTTCGGCTTTCGTCACTAAATGTTGGTTCCACCCTCTTATCACACACTCAGTTGAAGTCTAGCACAGAATCATTTGGCGGTTTGCTGCGTCCCTCACAATCCCAGTGATATACAGTATATTTAATAGAGGCTCCACAATTTTACACTTGGCCATGTGGATTAATTTATGTGGGAACCATCACTGATCTTACGAGGATTTAATGTATTTGGTCTTCATGATGGAACAAAGCAGATGTCAGGCAGCAACGATAAGAAGAAGGTGGGTTTGCTGCGTTGTCATTGTGCTGTTGTGGAACGTGGTCTCAGCGCAAATACGATATTCAATTTCCGAAGAAGTAACGGAAGGGACTGTGGTTGGAAATATTGCAAAAGATCTGGGATTGGAAAAAAGCTCTTTGGCAGACAGGAAATATCGGATTGTTACTAGTGCGGTGGCCCCGCTTTTTCATGTGGACCAGAAGGATGGCATCTTGTATGTGAGCCGAAAGATCGACAGAGAAGAGGTTTGCGAGGGATCCAGCACCTGTGTTATGGACATAAAAACCGTCCTGGAAAACCCTTTGGAGGTTCACTATGTTACGATTGAGGTGCTGGATATTAATGACCATTCTCCCACTTTCCCAGAGAAAGAGATAATGTTGGAAATTTCAGAGTCGATGCTTCCCGGGGCACGAATCCCGTTACAGCCCGCTCGAGATTCAGACGGAGGTCCATTTTCTATTCAGCAGTATAAACTTAGCTCGAATGAACATTTTCGATTGGAGGTTAAAGACACGGGAGAAGACGGTAAAATACCTGTTCTGATTATTCAAAAATCATTAGATCGGGAAATATCGAGAAAACACGTGCTAGCACTGACAGCACTGGATGGAGGTAAACCTCCAAAATCAGGCGAAGTTAAGATTTGGATTAATGTGATTGATGTAAACGATAATGCGCCCGTCTTTTCTCAAGATGCGTACTCAGTGACACTCGAGGAAAATTCTCCACTAGGGACAACAGTTATTCAAGTAAATGCCACTGATTTAGATGATGGACGGAATGGAGAAATAGTTTATTCCTTCAGCAATAGTGTGAATCGAAAATTCTTTAAACTTTTCGAAATAAATCCAACAACAGGTGAAATACTTGTCAAAGGTTCTATAGATTTCGAGGAAAAAGACAAATATCAAATTGAAATTCAGGCCTCAGACAACGGCCTGGCTCCTCTATCAACACAGAAAAACGTCATTATTAAGATAGTTGATGTGAATGATAACGCTCCACAGATTGAAGTTACATCATTCTCCAGCTCCATACCTGAAGATTCCAGACCTAGTACTACAGTTGCTCTTATCAGTGTCCATGACATGGATTCTGGTCTTAATGGAAAAATAATTTGCTCTGTCAATGAAGACGTTCCATTCACGTTATCACCTTCTTTAAAAGACAAGATGTTTTCACTGGTGACCAAATCACCCCTGGACCGAGAGAAACAGTCTCATTATGAACTGAAAATAACTGCAAAAGATGCTGGTCAGCCTCCATTATCATCTGAAAAAACAATAAGTGTAGTGGTGTCAGATGTGAATGACAACAGTCCAGAGTTTTCACTCAGTCCGTATACTTTCTATGTCGCTGAGGGTAACAATCCGGGAGCTTCAGTCTTCTCAGTCAAAGCTTTTGATCGTGATGAGAACAACAACGCACTCATATCCTATCATATTGTCAGAGATGGAAGCAATGATAACAAGTTAGCTTCATTTCTAAATGTTAACTCTGAAACTGGAGACATTGTGGCTCTGAAAGGTTTTGACTTTGAGACTCTGAAAACGTTCCAGTTCCATGTTGCTGCCACAGATTCTGGAACTCCGTCACTGAGCAGCAACGTCAC